AAGAAAATACCTAGCAAACATTTGGACCTCCACTGCAAGGGATTTGCAAGATTGGAATTAATCCTCTAGGTTTCCTATTTATGTTCTTGGTGCAGGGACAGTCCACTTAGTGACGGTACATCTGTATTTTCTTTGAAATGTATTAAGTAAAATAATTTAATTCAGTGTGAAATAGCAATTTGGAAAAAACCTCTGGATTTGTTATGGAAGTGAGATGTTGCCAGTGAAATGTGGCTTATTCTGTTAAACCTCGAGTAATATGGTTTACTGACATCAGTTTATGTCCCCCTGAAAAGGGAAGAGGCGTAAATGTGTATGCATGTATGTGTGACTGGATCATGCAGGCGATGAAAAAGCCTGGTTAGCTTTATGTTTAATGAATGTAAACCAAATTATTTAGTTTGCTGTTTGGCATTGTAGTAAAACCTGAGACACTTGAGGACTGCACGAGAAACTAAATTAACAATGACAAAAGAGGAAGTCTTCTGCAGGGCCGGGTGGCTTAAGCTAGAGGACGGTATTTGCAAAGGTGATGTGACACACAGTAGTCTTCCTGGGCCTTTTTGTTTGCCCCCAAGTTTTAAGTCAGTCTTTCATTTTTATGTACAAAAAATAAATGTGTTCAAAATTGCATCTCTGTCTGAGTCTTTATTTAAATTGGAAGGATAAATACTTGGAAGCCCTCTTTCAATGTGTCATAACTGGTGGAGGAAAGCTGACTTATGAATCAGTGTAGTGCTTGCAGAACTCAGACGTATTGTACGTGTAGTAGCTTGGGGGTGTGGTGCTGTGAACACCAAGGTCTCTTTCTGTAGACTCTCAGAGTAGAGCCTTCCCTTTGCCTAAAAATACCATGTCCAGTGCTGGGGTTTCTTTCTCACTACAGGAAATGTTTGCCTAGAAACAGTTACTTTCAAGCCGCTGTAGCAGGATTGGCCTCCAAAGCTGTGAGAGGTGATGTGTTTTGAGATGCAGCCTGCCTTAGTCCCTCTGAGGCCCAAGGAGACTTCTGCAGTGCTTGTGGTTACTTGTGTGAGGAAGTGGTTTGCTGGACTGAGACCTGTACTTGAAACTCTCCAGCAAGGATGTGCCTTATACTGTAACATGGAAATACCTTCTGGAAAAGCAACGGCTTTCCAAGAGTACTTGCTCAGAGGCAGTAGTGGCTCCAGGGAACACATGAGAAGCTGTTTGGTGTTGACAGTGAGCTGCAAATCCCCTGTCAGTTCTTAGCTCCTTTTTTTTTGTTGTTGTTTTTAATCCCCGTACTCTGTACTGAATCGGTGACTTTCTTTTGGTTGTATGTCGCAGGCCGAGACTGACTGACACCTAAGCCTTCGAGACTTGTGAATATTCTGCAGCTATAAACTGCAAATTATTGACATGCAAAGCGAGACATGACCCCCCCCTCTTCGGGAACAAAAAGTGAGGTCTGTTAAGTACCAAGAAGACCTCAGTTATCTGTTTACAGCGTAAACTGCACCGAGGGGATGAAGACCACCAGCAGCGTGTGCTACTTTGCAAAACGAAATAATTTGCCATCTTGTGTTTTTATAATGCGTGTATTAATGTAGAAAGATGTAAAAGAACCAAATTAGGAAGTATTTTGTTTTGTACTGCCATTCTTATTGTATTTTTATACTTTTTGGCAGCATTAAATATTTTTTTAAATTGATGATGTGCTGTTGTGTGCGCATTATGTTAGGGAGAACCTGTTAAAGAGTGTGTGTTGTGGAAAAAGAAGGGTTTTGCCTTAAAGTTTCCTGATACCGGTCTTAACTGGAAAATGGCAAAATTATTAGAGTGTGCTTCTTGAAAGTATTTTTTTTAATGCTAAGTATTGTAGTTTGATTTAGGAGGAATTCTTGTACATTTCTTTTGTAATACACCACTAAGAATATTATTTTAATAATCTGACCAGTTGGTTTGGTAATTCTTTTTATGTTTGCTATAAAACATGGCCAGAATGTTCAGAGTAACTTTGTGATGGGAAAGTGTTCTGTTCGTGGTGCTTTAAAGGGAAAACGGAGGTGAACCTGATCTCTCTTGACCCAGAGTCCCATGTAGTTAATGGGAGCTGAGGAACAAAAATGAAGTGCACAAAAGTCAGTGGTGTCTGTAATTAAACAGGTTTTGGATTGTGCCATTGCCGTGTGTTCTATGTATGTATTCTCACATCTCCCACTTTCTGTCAGTCTTCTCCTTGACGCAGTCAGGATGGATTGAAAATGGGTAAGCCAGAGTGGTGCTTAAAGGAGGTCAGCAGGGTTTCCAGCCCTGTGCCTTCTGTAACAGAGCTGATCTCAATTCTGTGCTTGTTCTCTGATGGTTTCGGATAAACCTTAACTCACAAAACTATATATTTACTATGACTGTCTAAACAGGCATGTGGTGGGGTTTTACATGGTAGCAGCCTGAAATCTTACCAGAACTTGGTCTTGAGGTCCGTTCATGAAAGCAGTGATATTCAGAGTCATGTTGAACTTGAAGGGGAAGCTGAAGCAGGGCAGTACTTGGTGCTATTATGTGAGCTAAAGACACACTTGACACCATCCTGAAATAGTCTAAATTTCCAGTCTGGTTTGTCCAAATTTTTTTTTTCTTTACATGATTACCATTGTTCTGAGCCTATGCTGGAGGAGAAAACAACATGTGACTTGATTCAGTTTTCATTTTCAAGTTGGTGCAGCTGTGAAACCAGGAGTGTTTATAGCAAGAGATTAAGCTCTGCCAAAACCACTGCAACAAACCCTGCTATTGTTGATTACAGGAACAGGGCCTGTTTATACCACTTGGGACATCTTTGGATAAGGCTTTCAGCTGTTCATGCCTTTTACCTTTAGCTATGGTTTAGGTTTTCATTGTTTTCTTCCTCTTGGAGTTGTAAGCATGCAGTACATGACTACTGGAAGTGTGCATGTGCTGCCTTATTCTACCTGCTGCTGTCACATGCAACTAGTTTATCTTGTGAGGCATAAAGAGCTGAATATCCTAATAAAAATTCTGATTGCCCTTAGTTTTTAAATGTTTTTCAACTACTGAGGTGCTGGAATAAAGTCAATGTTAGCCAACTTGATGAATCAGCAAAGGAGATCAAGATAAAGTAGTTCCAAAACCAGGGCTTTGCTGTGTTTTGTTGAATGCTGTTTTGTGACAGATGTCTTGCTTTCTGACCTCTATACTTGTTTGGTTGTTTCTACACAGGCCACAATTTTTGACTGCTGTTGAGAAAATGTATTTAAAAAGGTGAAGGAAGGGGAGAGAAAGGACCAAGTGAGTGTGTAATTGTAGGCTTTAAAGAAATGGTGTTAAAATGATCAGACTTGTGAAAGCAATTTCTTTCCAAATGAAGAAGCTGTGATTTACTGACTGCCATTTCTTTTCTCCATGCTCAAGGGCGGTGTTCCAGAGGTATTTTATTTTTGCTGGTCATCTGAACAGCAGGGCAAAGGTGCAGCCTTTGTCCTGCAGGAAGGTTTTGGTGCGTGCAGGGCTGTTCTCGCCTGTCCCGGGCACTGGAGGCAGGAGTGGCTCCGGGCCAAGAGCAGCGCCGCCCACGGAACTGCCGGCTTTGGGGAAGCTGCATCCTTGTTCCTCCCGCAAGGATCCGACTGCCCTCTACCTTCTTCACAGGGAACAGGAAAGCCCTGAGCATTTTCTCTTTCAGGAAGTACTCCCAGTGTTCTTCTTTTCCCTTCTCGAGGTTTTGCTCGATCTTTGGCTCACTTAAGAAAAATACTGTGAAGAAAGTAACTCCCCTTTCATTGCTTCTGTCTACTCCTTCAGTCCCTCAAGACTTCATTTGCTCTCCTGCTCTGTATGGACCTTGTAGTCACTTGGCTCAATTTGAATATGGTTATTTTTCCAACTAGCATTAGGCTTATCAGACTTGCCTTGTGCTACACGTGGCCTTTTGTATGCATTCCTTGACTGCGTCTGCATTTTGACTCACCAAATTTGACTTACCAGTCTGGATACCTGTGCGAGCTCCTAAAAACATATTTTGGTTAATTCTCACTTTTCAACTCTAGAACTCACCATCTTGCATCCATGATTTAAAGTTGGCTTTAAATCAGCTGATGTGACCAAGCACTTCCAAAAGGTCAAAATTGAGCACAAAGCTAAATACTGTAGTGCAACAGGTACCATGACAAACATGGAACATGTGAACCATTCATCACTCAGCTGCTCTCTCAGACTAAGCCTATAAAATACAGATACCAGACTGCCTGATATCAGACAAGGTTTCCCGATTGCTTTATATTTCAGGGCACTGTATTAATGTTCAGTCTAAGAAGGCTCATTGACCTAGAAAGTTTTAGTTTCAGCTTCTGGAAATGGAATGGAAGCCTGGAAAAGAAGGCTTAGGGGTATCCTAATTGTGACCTCCCAGTTCCCAGAGGGACCCTGCAAGAGAGCTGGAGAGGGACTTTTTACAAGGGCATGTAGTGAAAGGATAAAGGCAAATGGCTTCAAAGTAAGAGTAGGTTTAGGTTGGGTATTAGGAAGAAATTCTTTGCTTTCAGGGTGGTGAGGCACAGGCTTAAGTTGCCCAGAAAAGTTGTAGATGCCTCATCCTTGGAAGTGTTTAAGACCAGGGGCTCTGAGCAGCCTGGTCTAGTGGAGGGTGTCCCTGCCTACAGCAGTGGGATTGGAACTAGAGGATCCCTTGGATCAGAATCCCTTCCAACCCACACTGTTTACAACTCTATATAGGCAGAAAAGACAGAAGAGGCTGTTACACTGCAGTCTCCCAGTCTCCCCAGCTGAAGCTACTACAACATCACTGGGAAAAGAAGGCAAAACCAGATCACTTCTGATGTTCACTTACCTCACCAGGAAGTCTTGAAAAAAAAGTTAAGATCCACAGTTGACATGGAAGTGGATAGTTTTATCCTCCAAGAAAATCCATGCCTACACATTGCTCTCAGTTCTCAGCTACATTAAAAAGGAGCACCTTAAGCTTGTCCATGGCAGTAACACTTAATCAGGGAAAAAAGTTTCTTAAAAAATATTTTATTAGAAAAAACTTCCAACCAAAGTTACTCCATAAACAACTGTACAAAACATATTTCTTTGGTGAGTTTGTGAAAGTTACCTTAATTTCTTTAGCTACCCACATACACAAAAGTAATTTTTCTTAAATAAAGCATTTATGTAGACACCAAAGCAAGCTGCTGCTCCTTGGCAATTACTGTGTAATCACCACCTCAAGGGACATCTACAATCGCACACGTGACTCACAGCGAGCTCAGAGCTGATCAGAAGAGGGCAGGTGGGAGACCGTTGCCAAAAAGTAGGCGCCAAGAACTCGGTATCTTCCACTGTGAAGACGGATCTGTGGAATTGTTGTTCTGCAACAAACCCAGAAAAATTAAGTTTTAAGTAGTAATGATGTAACTGGATATTAAAATAATAGGCAGCAGTACAAATGTGTCACGGTGGGTTGTTTTAGAGAAGGGTACTGGAATAGAGAACTCAATCAAACCTTTACACAATTTTTGCCCAAACCTGTCAAACAAAAGAACTGGTGTTCAGATTTGTTGTTTCAGGTGGGAAAACTCCCAGTGAGATTTTAATACAAATATATATTTTATTTGGCATATTCTTGATGACCAAGAGCCAAAATGAACCCATCTGGACTGAAGAAAAATGAAAATAATGGATATAAAATATGACAGCAAGAACTTTAGATCCAACAGTACTTACTTCACTTTTAATTAGCTGGAGCCATTCATTAAGATAGTTAACAAGAACAAATGCATCAGGGATGTTGTCTCCTTCTGAGCAAAATTTCAGAAGAACTGCCATTTGGATTCCCTCTGAGCAGCTGCAAGAAAAATGAGCATGCATTTATATTTAGTTTTTAGATCCACGATAATTATATTTATGTATTAAGAGCACCAACAATATGTGTGTATCTTGTGAAAAGCCAAAACCAAAAAGGAAAAATGCATGGATATATATATTTTAATTTTTTTTCCCTCCAGATTTCCTAGATAACATTTTCACACTTCATACTTTTTTGCTTAGTCTTGAATTTGTTCTTTACTTTGCAAGGCAAGAATCCTACATCTTGCAAGAGTATGCAGGCCTTTTACATACTTAGTTTGCATTTTTGTGCTGGTGAGGTGCTGTACACATCCTTTGATACAACCACTCCTTATCCTGCTGTGTATTTTAAACCAGGAGTTTTGCAGGCTGCATATCGCTACTTCACTCAGAATATTCTCATTTTTTAATTTAGATATTAAGATGGTTATTTTAAATTATTTTACCTCAAGTCCTGGCAGTTTTTTTCTTTTGCAATTGTGTATTGTTTCCATTCTGAAGTCAGTATAAATGTAAGCATGGCATTAGTAACTCTGCTGCTGTTGAATGCAACAGTGTGGTCAGGTGTCAAAAGTAATAATTAAAAAATAAAAGTAAATTTTCCACCTGACACAATGCATCTTTTGCAGAACCACACAGTTGTGCTATAAATGAGTATTAGTTTCTAAAATTAAAAACTCAGCTTTCAGCACAACTTCTGATGCACACACCTTTTAACAAAACCCCCACTCATCTAATTTTTTTGCTGGCCCTGAAATCTTGACACATTCGTAGCACTCAGAATTGTTTGTGAGTTTTTGGGTTTTTTGTATAACTGACGTTGGAACCATCTGCCTCAGGAAACAGTTTTAGTTAAAGTAGCACAGATACAGGAATTCTACTATTTACAACTTGTGGTGTGGATAATATCAGATACCAGATTGATTGTGATCATAACTGTAAAGACTTTATTATTTTCCTTTAGCCTATTCCATTGTATTTTTATCTTATTCTAACTTCATGATCCAGGACTCCCTACTTTTCTTCCTCCTTATTATGGGCCTGACCTGAAAGAAATTCTATTCCTATAAAGCCCTGTTCTATAAACAGAAGGACTTTTCTTTTCCTGTAACATAGCTGTTTAGAAGATAATTTTACCCAAGTACTAAAAACAAGACTTCTGATATCTTTCTGTGCTTATCTTTAGGCAACTCACCTCTCAGTAAACAATAGTTTTGTGATGCCACCTCCAGGTATATGCAGAACTTTGTCTGTACTATTTATTCCAGGATAAGCTGCTACTTTTTCCATTTCTTTCCAGTTTAGCTCCTTCATGCGGCCTCCAACTGCTTTCTCCAGATCAGGTGTGAGCAGGTAGCGCAGTGGTGTCCTAGAAACAATCAAGGATGCATTCAGTCTGCCAAGGAAGGACACTGCCCCAGCTATCACTTGTGGCAGACAGAAGGTGCCAGCACTGAGGACCTCACACCTGCAGGGAAGAACTGCTCTGACATTGTCTCCCTCTTCAGATCAAAGTTAGAAAGTAAGTCTGTGGCCTCAAAACTGTACAAAGTATTCAACTTTATGCCACAAACAGAATTTAGGTACCCTTTCAGGGGCTCAGTTAACTGGCAAGTGCCAAATACATAAGCACCTAAACAGGGAAACTGCTTATGGTTGTTAAAATAATTTACAAATAAAATGTGCTTTTTTCTTCCTTCAGACAGGAGGTGATTAATTCAAAATCTGTTTGGGTAAACTTGGACTTCACCATGGTACAGTATTTTTAGTAAGCTCACACTACTAATACATTCAGACTTTAGTCAAGTTAAAAGTATTTTCTGAATACACTACCCTCATTCATTAGTAAATCTGCTATAAGGGAGTTGTTCTGTGGTGCTGAGGGAGCTGGGAAGGTTTAAATCACAACTTATGACTTAGACCTCATCAAGTAACTCATTTAATTCCATGTTAGCTGGCCATCCTGCAACTGTGTGGATCTACCACTATATCTGGGACGTGCATAGATCTAAACGTCCTTTGAGGCCCTATACATTTTTAGAGCCTGAGGATAACAACTGCAGAAATATTAATTTTATTTGTTTCTCATTAAATCACCAATTATGATGCCCTCAATCATCAAGAAATGCCTGTCTTTTGGATGGGTAATATCTAGCAAAAAATTACTGCAATTGCATCCGTGCAGTTGCCTCCCAACAAATAATAAATTATAACTTCCTATTAAAAAAAAAAAAAAGAATGGCAACTTACTGTGTCAAAGAAAACCTTTCAAATCTAGAATGATGACAAAGAGGTCAGAAACAAACCAATACTGCTATCAACTATTAAAAATCTAACCTGTGACCTGTACGTCAGCAGTTAATCCCTGACATTGCCTGCAGCCACTGGAAATTAAAACTGAAGCAATGCAGGCTAAGTGCAATTTGCTTACAGCTTTTCATTTGATCAGTACTTTCAACAGCAGTAACCCAGAAAATTCAGTGACTTATCCTGCAATATGTCATGTTTTAACAATATACTATGCATTTTATGACCAATGCACACATGTAAGCAAAAGTACTCAGGACATGGAAGTAGAGGGAAATATGTCAGTCAAAAAACCCCAGAAACATCAGTTAGGTCTTTTTAAGGACACAAACATACCCCAGAAGCTGCTCATCGTCGCGCTGGTACGCGTGGCTGCTGGACAGGAGGACAACCCTGGCACATTTGCTGCTCTTCACCCAAGAAAGCAGGGTTTCACAGAATGGCCTGTACTTGTTCTTTATGCAAAGACACAGACAAAAAAGTGAAACATTTAATGTGTCCTTAACAATACTAGGTGTTATGTATAATGTTTAGCAGTGATGTAAATTATCCCTCATATCCACTTAGTCTTCAGCTCCAGATATATTATTAGAAAGCAGAGAACTGCCCTGGTTGTTTACTTAAGCAAAACTACACGTAGAATTACAAGAATTATCATTAAGACCATGTCAACAACAACAGTACCACCTGTTTTGTGTGCCATTAACACCAAAGGAAAAAGCTTTAGAGCAAGATGGGATGGCAGGATCACACAGAATTTTTCCACACATTGAACGGCTAAGACACTGCACCACAAAATTTTTTTCTGTAATGGCATTCTGCTTATTTTAAGTTATAGCCACTCCCCAGTTAATGAGTAATACTAAATTCCTCATTTTTACCAAATGAGCACTGTTAAAATGAATCTAGAATACTATGAAATAATTAAATCACATGACACACAAAAATAAAGCTATTACAAAGAACACAGAAAAATAATAAATGTAAAGGAAAAAAATAAACAGACAAAACCCAGACCATTTTGTATTTTCATGACTCTTAATAACTAAAGGAGATAATTACACTAAAATCTACCAACACAGACAGCTGTTGTGGGGATTGGAAAAACAAAATGCAGAAAGTGATGACATAAAATGCCTCAATGAATGCAGAAATCAGTAAAACTTTACCAACTGCAGGAGGTGTTCCAGCATGAAGTAGAAAAATACTTTTGCCAGGCCACTTTGTATTTGCCAGCAGAACTATTCAAACCAAAGAGTGAAGTAAGAACAATCAGTGAACATACATACCTTTATAAAAGGTGATCTGATCTGCAGAACCACAAGTTTCCTTGAAGGTAAGGAGTACACTACAAGAAGAAATCATTGTCATATTAAGCAGAAACTGAGAAAGAGCTCTGGGTTTAAATATATCAAGAATTAGCCCATTTACAAACTTCAGGATAGTAAATCTTTCAGCTATCAATTCATATGGGGAAACCAGATGACATCCACGTGTTAAAAACACATATTTCTGTGCATTGTACTATCAGTTGTACTAAATTCAAGGACTGAATTATGAAACATATATGAGGATTTGCCTCCTATAATTATTCAGATAACGTATTTATCTTTGCAAAGACTGCCATATTATTCTGAGATTTCTGTGATTTAAGAGGGTAAAAAAAAAGATACAATGATCAATGTAGGCAAAGAAATTAAGAATTTGTCAGGGGAGTGGGAGAAACATTACATAGGGAAAAAGGCAGAGGTATATAGGAAAGAAGAAGAGTGGATAAGTATCCTTCTAAATCAAAAATTCAACTTGTATTCCAATAATTTTTTAAGTATATGCACACTTGATATTGCTTTGGATTAACACCACACAGAGTTTTTACTGCACTACAATATGGCTCAAATTCAACATTTCTTACTGGTTCCAAATGTCAAATTGGTTTTCCAAAATAACAACAGGAACAGTTTCCTTTGTGAAGTGTAAATCCATTCCTATCTGTAGGTTTCTGCAGCTGTTGTTACTGCCCTTAATTTAAGCACATCAGAAAAATTTAACAAGAACAAAAAAAGTAAATGTGATGTTCTTGCATCTTATGCCCATTGCAAATACCTTCAGCATTCAATACCCACCTTCAGCATTTATACTCAGCTCCACTGAGTTTTCCTCTGCTGTTGCATATGGGTTATTTCCAACCATTGGCACCAGGCAATCGGTGTAGAAGTAACCAACTTTAGTCATGTCAAGTGTGGAAATCACCAGATCTATTGCCAGCTGACCGACATTCCCCACGGACACTGCTGGCTGAAGTAACAGAATGAACCAAATTACACTGTGCTTCATGGATGGCATAAGGTGTTCTTCAAATTGTGAAAGCTTAAAATCTGGTCAAACATGATTTCTAAAAGTGGCTGCTCATCCTCTGGCAAAGGTGACTATTTCCTACCAGAAGAATTGGTAAATACAGGATTTGGTCTCCGTCCGACAAAAAACATCCTGGCCACTTCTGTGAATAATCCTGTCTCATTGTAAATTGAAAGAACAGCTTGGAAACTCACCTCTTTTTCCACAATTTTGCATTGAGAGTAGGTAAAAGCCACTCAAGCAACTGATGTGAGACTGGCAAAGCTCACATGATGCCCAAAGGCAGCTCTGGTATTACATATTAAGCCTCTAAATCTCAGACTGACTCATAGAAAAGAGTAGGTTGTTTCTCATTTTTTTAAGAAAAAAAATTATAAGCGCCCCCTTAAATTAATTTCATAGGAATTGCTGCGGGTTATCATCAATCGGGGCAGATACTGACCTAACATACTGAGCTAATATGATGGCACGGAAAGAGAAAGTCAAGGGTCTGTGTCCTTCCAAAGAAACTATTACAGAAAGACAACCATAAAACGTTCGGTGTCTTTCCTCTAATCTGTAATCAAACCTAAGAATTGCTGCTGCTGCTGCCCACGGGGGAAAGACAGCGGATTCGAGGCTGACAGAAGGTGAGGGAGGCACTGAGTGTCCGCTCGCCCCGGCGGGCACCGCGCTCCCCGGCAGCCCCCGGCGCGGAGCTCGGCAGTGATGTGTTTCCTGCTGCTGCTTGTCAGCTGACCGGGAATGCCTTCCTGCGCAGCCTGCACAGTCATGCCGGGCTGTGCAGCCCTGCCGGGGAAGCGATGGGCTCCTGCAGGTAACCCAGCAAGGGGAGAAGTGACGGCGTTTGCCCCTCCGCAGCCTGCGCTGGAGCTCTGGTCCCACAATGACCTGACACTGATGGCACACCATGTGTGAAGGCGATAAAAACACTTCCTAAAACAATCCTAATCCGAGATTTAAATGTAGCAGATTTTTTTTTTAACATTGGAAGCATTTATATATCCCATCTAAATGAAAAAAAAAAAACCCCAAGATTTTATTGCAGTGACAACCCACGCGTGCTGCAAATGCAGTAAAAGCACATAAAGCACATTAATTTTTAGAGCAACAGCATATAGCCATAGCTCCGAAATAGCACATAGCTATTACTCTAAAATAAAATACAGCTGTTGCAGCTCGGCACGGATCGTCCTGACAGGGGCAAACCCGGGGTTCTGAGGACGGAGAAGTTGACAGAAACGGAGAAGACGCGCTGAGCTCTGCTGCACACAGAGCTCTCCAAACCCTCTTTCCCCCGGCAGAACACCCCACAGATTCCACACACACCGCCTGCCCTGCGCCTTCTCCGCTTATCCCGCGGCCAAGTTCCCAGGGACGACCCTCGGGCAGGGCAGGGAGCGACACCAGAACCCCCCGTGTCCCGTCCCACAGGAGCGGAGCGGAGCCCTCAGCACAGGGACCGGGGGCAGCGACCCCTCAAACCCGCCGAGAGCGGGGAAAAGGGGAAGCAGGAGCGTGACTCACCATGAGCAGAGTGAAGCCTTTAAAGTCGGGGTCGGCGGAACCCCCGCCGCGGTCGCACGGAATGAACATGCCGGGCGGGAAGGGAGGAGAGAAGCAGGCAGCGAAGAAAGGAAGGAAGGGAAGAAGGAGGGAGGGAGGGAAGGAAGGAAGGAAGCAGGGCGCGGACGCCGCAGCCTCGTGCTGCCGCCAGGGGGCGGTGGCGGCGCTGCCCGCGGTGCCTGCGCGGCGGTTGGGGCTCGTTCCCGGGCGGCTCCGCCATGTCGCTGCCGCCGGAGAAAGCCTCGGAGTTGAAGCAGATCATCCACCAGCAGCTGCTCAAGGTGGGACCGGCGCCGGAGAGACTTCCCTTGGCCCTCAGGAATCTGTGCCGGCCCCCGTGCCGGTGTCACCCGGCCGCGGGTGGCGGCAGCGCCCGCTGAGGCGGTGGCGGAGCGCGCCCCGCTTTGTTTTCCCAACTTGGGTGGCTGCAGGTGGTTCCCAGGCGCCGCTTGGTCGCTTTCGTGTTGCTTTTTGAGCGAGGGTCTTGAACTGGTCGGGAAATAAATAAGAAGGCTGTAACTCCTATATCGCTTGTTAGTGCAGTGGTGGATATTCCTGCCTGTGACACAGGAGAACGCGGTTCTTGGAGCGAGTCCAGAGGAGGCCAGCAAGATGATTAGAGGGAGGCAGCTCCGAGGAAAGGCTGAGAGAGCTGGGATTGTGCGGCCTGGAGAAGAGAAGGCTCCGTGGAGACTTCATAGCAGCCTTCCAGTACCTGAAGGGAGCCTGCGAGAAAGGAGACAGACTTTTTTACCAGTGTCTAGTGACAGGGCAAGGGGAGATGGATTCAAATTGAAAGACAGCAGGTTTAGATTAGATATTAGGAAGAATTTTTCACTGTGATGGGTGCTGAGGGACAGGAACAGGTTGCCCAGAGAAGTTGTGGATGCCCCATCCCAGGAAGTATTCAAGGCCAGGCTGGGTGGGGTTCTGAGTGACCGGATCCAGTGGAAGGTATCCCTGCCCATGGCCGGGGCTTTGGAATGAGATGATCTTTAAGGTATTTTCCAGGTAGGCCGTTCTGTGATTCTGTTTCAGGTCCCTGTGGCTGTGTCCTTAACATCCTTCCAGTGTGAGAGTCAGCTCTATAAATCCATCTGCTTTCACAGCTCAGATGATGGGTAGACGTGCTCAGACTTCCCTTTGAGCATAGGGAAAGCTTGCAAGGGAGATCTACTACTTTTGTGCCTTACCTATATAAAAGCATATTTTTTCCCCTTAAAAAATTAGGAAGTATGATATTAAGCTTGAATTTTGAGGGAGACGAGAAGTCAGAACAGCAACCATTTTGTAATTGATGGATTTGCAGACCTTTTTGTAAGGAGGGAGGTTCAAGATGAGTTGCTGTCAAAGAGCACTGAAAATGCCTAGGTTTTGTATGCTTGTAATTTTTTTTTACTGGGAGCTGCTTTTGTAAAGTAGTGGCTCATTTGATTAGTTCTGCAAGGATCAGTATTTTGATATAGTTATTTCTGTGTTCCTAGGAAAACCCCCTTAGCCTTACAGACTTAATTGGTAAGTTGTACCTGCTGCCATAGAGAGGGCTGGGGTTTGTAACACATAATGAATTTTCTTTCAGATGGATGTCCATGGGAGGATACGAGAAGTTCTTGCTGAGACTATACGAGAAGAGCTGGCACCTGAGCATCAGCAGCTGTCCACAGAAGATCTGATAAGAGCCCTAAGACAGCGGGGAATCATTGATGATGTTATGAAGGAACTTAAATTTGTAACTGTAAGTAGCTTTTTAAGAGGGGAAGTATTTCTGCTTATTCTTCTTACTGATGTGGGTGTTTTGACGAAGTGAAACTGTGCTGCTTCTGGAGGTTTGTAAGGACCTTACTGATTTAAGACATAGGAGCAGAGAAGATTAATGCATATGCTGAAGTTGGTTGGGTGATAATACTGCATTGAAAATATTTGTTCCGTTTTAGAAGGGAGCATACCTAAGGAATGACATTCAGATGAAATGGAGGATCCTTTAATTTTTAGAAGACTGTGGTAAGAGCACTGTTGCATCCCTTGAGTCCTTAAAAAGTCTTAATTGTAATTCCAGGATGTGAACGAAACGGAGAGGGCTTCAGCTCTGAAACCATCAACACATTTTGTTGACAGAGAACCACCAGTTTTGAAAAAAAGTATGTTTCTTGTTTATTTAAATGCTTGGATCATAGTTTTGAAACAAATTTGAAGTCTGTGATTTTTGCACTCTGAATCAGTAATCCAGTGTGAACTGGCATAAAGGTGGATGTTACCTCTGCTTATCCACAGGGAGTAAACTTGTGTAAGCAGCAGCAATCAGTGTTGCATTAAATATGATTTATTATTATTTAATTTACTTTACACTAAGATAACTTCCTTATATTTTAAAATCACTTTCTCCTAAGCACGTTTCACAGAAGTTTCTTTTTTTGTTAGTCTCCTGTTAGTTAGCTGATATTTAACAAATTAAGCTTTCTAAGATCTGTTTGTAGTCTCTTCATTTTTATTGCTACGCTTTACAGCTAACATTGACCCAACACGGAGGTATCTTTACCTTCAGGTTTTGGGTGGAAAAGCTTTTCTGGAACATCTTCAGGAACCAGAGCCTCTGCCTGGCCAGATCTGTTCTACCTTCACTCTGTGTTTACATTTTCGAAACCAGCGCTTCCGTTCCAAACCTGTACCCTGTGCCTGTGAGCCAGATTTTCAGGATGGTTTTCTACTTGAAATACACAAGGATAGCCTAGGTAAGGAATATTATGGGTTTAAAACTGATGCTGTTGGGATTTTTCCCTAAGAGTTATTGTGAAATATGTTTGATATTATTTCATGGATTTCTTTCCTGTTTTTTGTCATGTGTTCCTGAGGAAACTGATTACTCTATTGGGTTATGCCACTTGTAGATCTTTCTCTGCTCTTGCTCTTTTCCTTTTTTTTCGCTCTAAAGTAACTTGAAATTGACCAGCTTTGTAAATTCTTAAATGTTAATTCCATTTTAATTTTTTGTGTATCGGAACTAGTTACATTGCAGTACTCAACTACAAAAATAATTTTATCTTCTCTGTAGTCTCTCTGTAGCTCTGTCCTAAAATGAGTATGATTTTAGAGATGGGACTGTTGCTTACACTTCTGACTCAAGATCCCTCTTTATACTTACTACAGACATTGCATTTTGTTGCATACTGTTTTAAAATTCTGTGGAGAACTTGGGATGACAATATTCTTGCTGTCTTATTTTGGTTTAATAATTGCAGGTGACGGGAGCAAGATGGTGGATGCAACCACTATGTTATCTATATGTGACCCAGTGCATATGGTTCTGATCAAAACAGACACATTTGGTGAGACCACACTGGTAGCATCCTATTTCTTGGAGTGGAGGTCTGTCTTGGCTGCAGAGAATGGCGTAACAAATGTTGCTGTGGAACTCTTGGGTGTAGGTAAGGATGAAAAATAAGCATATTACGAGGACACGAGGACTTAAAATATTGGGTACTGAGCTTGCTTACAAGCTTAAAGCAGTATTTTTGATCTAGTTCATTTTTTTCTTAAATTCAGAAGTAACTGTAAAGTATCCTTAGAAAATGCCTAGAAGACTTAATGGTCAGATTTTTCTCTTACCAAGCTGCTAAAAATGAGTATTCCAAATGCCATGTAGAAATGGTTCTTGTGTCTGGGAATTCCCACTATTGATTGTCTGTAAAACCTGGTTACGTTATCAGACTCAAACAAACCAACCAAAAATACAGTAGTTCATCTCCAGGAATATATCTGGTCAGTGCACTGGGGAGTAAAATTCAGCCTGTGTGCCTTTCATAGCAAACTAACAGTTGCTGGAGAAAGGGATCTCTGCTCTGCTCCCGTTTATCCCAGTGGCTGGAAGTGTGTTTTCTGAAACAGTTAGTACACGTGTGTATTTTCATGTGTCATTGTCCCCCGTCCTCTTCTCAGCACTTCCAGCCCAAGTTTTTAGGATATGATTTAGTGAATAAAGATGAGGTCTCTCATGACTTCCTACAAGACTTTTTACAGGAGCAGGTAATGACAGGACAAGGGGGGATGGATTCAAACAGAATGAGAGTAAATGTAGATAAGATTTTAGGAAGAAATTCTTTCCTGGGAGGGTGGTGAGGCACTGGAACAGGTTGCCCAGAGAAGCTGTGAATGCCACATCCTGAGAAGTGTTCAAGGCTAGGCTGGATGGAACTCTGAGCAACATGATTTTGTGGAAGTGTCCCTGCCCATGGCAGGGTGATTGGAAATAGATGATCTCTAAGATCCCATCCAGCCCAGGCCACTCTGATTTTAATTTTCTATAATGAATTGGAAATGCATAACAGATTAGTTGGGTTTAATTCTTGGATGGGTTATGGAGCAAGTTAAATTTAATTCTCATTAGTTTTTTTCCAAGTAATAAAGTATCAGTCCAATAAATCCAGTGCTTTTTCTCCTCTTCAAAATCCTATCATTGTACAAAATGAATCAAGAGCATCAAAGGATGCTGCCATCTCAGATAAGCACATAAACTACTACGTGAGGTTTCCATTGCTTGTATTGCTTATGGACCCATCTGTAATCTGTTTTGTAATGCTTATTGTTGTTTATGTAATTTAAAATTTTCAGCATCAGGGGGGTTGCTGTTCATTTGTTTGTTGTTTTGGGAAGTTTTTTTAAGTTAATTATTCTCTTTGTATGACAGCCAGAGTCCTTCATTAATGAACTGTGTCCTGGGGGAAGATGAACTTCACTTGTTTCCACCTATTTAAATTTGAGCTACTTGTGTAATCAGAAGAAATAGGCACATTTACAGTGTGTGATTTTTTGACATGATTTTAGATGCTTATTCTAGACATTTCTAGAATACCATTCCAGAATTCATCTCATATGTCCAAGTACTGGCTGCAAATAGGACCTTGGATAATTGTTTGGATGTAGACATCAGTGCTTTTTTTCGTATATTATGCTTTCTTACAGCTTCATTTGACTTTGAAATTTAAATAAAGATTCCCACTTTGCCTATGTTGAAAGCAGTTTAGTTACTTTTTGTGATTATATAAGGCTAACATATATTTTAATGGTTTGCCCCTGCCTGGCTGAAATAATCTAAGCAGATTGAATATGAGAGAACTGATGAAA